CCCAGGATCTCCATCTCCCCCGGGGCCTGCACTGCCCCGACCGACTGGATGCCGGGCTCCATCCCCGAGGGTCTTAGGAGCGGGGTATTTGAGGACAGGGCAGGGGCTGCCGATGGTGTATGTGGTGGACTTGGCCAAATAGAGTGGATGCCTCTGCTTCCACTGGGGGGAGGCTATGAAAAGGAGGGAGGGTAATCACAACCCCACGGGCAGTAAGTCCTGCGCCCCTTGCCCAGCAGAGCGTTCTGAGTAAGTACCAAGTCGGCTTTGTGGGGGCAGCCTGAAGGCAGAGCTCAAAGAGGGGTGAGTGCCTCCCAGCCCCCGTGCCAAGCTCGGGGTGCGACAGACGGCGGTGGGCCTTACCCCAGCCTATGCTCAGGTAGAGCCTGAAGATGCGCTGCTCGGAGAAGACGGAGAGGGCCAGCAGCGTGTACAGGTACACGCCCTCCACCAGAAGCCAGTAGTAATTGGCCGCCACGCAGTACTGCATGAGCAGGAACACCAGGCGGCAGCCCAGGGAGTCCTGGGGGCAGAGGAAGGGTCCAGGGGACAACAGCTCTGCCCCTGCCTCTCTGCCCCACCTCCCTGTCCCGCCCCAGCCGCCCGCCTGCCACGGTCAGTGTAGGACGAGACAGCTGGCACCTGTGGCCGGGCCAGGGCAAGGACCCGACCCCCTGACTCCTCACTGCACCCTCACCGTCCTGGGTGGAAGAAACTAGTCTTATCCCCATCTGGGTAAGAAAACCGAGGCTCAGAGGAGTCAAATGATTTGCCCCAAACTATACAGCTAGCAAGTGGCAGAGCTGGGATTCGAATCCAGGTCTATCTTCAAAGGCTCCCCTGTGTCTCACTGAGAACTCCCTAAGGGCAGGGGCCGTGTTCCCTTCCTGGGGCTTCCTCCCATCACCCTGAGGGCTCCCCAGGGTTCACTGCTCTCCCATCACCCTGAGGGCTCCCCAGGAGGACTGCCTCTCCCATCACCTTGAGGGCTCCCCAGGTGGACTGCCTCTCCCATCACCCTGGGGGCTCCCCAGGAGGACTGCCTCTCCCATCACACTGGGGGCTCCCCAGGAGGACTGCCTCTCCCATCACACTGGGGGCTCCCCAGGAGGACTGCCTCTCCCATCACACTGGGGGCTCCCCAGGTGGACTGCCTCTCCCATCACACTGGGGGCTCCCTGAGGACCACACCTAGACAGCTCTTGCCCCTCTTTGAGCCAGGCCTGGGTGGGGTGGGGGAGACCAGCGTTCGCCAAGCGCCCGGTCCTCCCCAGGCCCTCCCTGGACACACCACACACCTGGTAGGAGAGGAGCCCGTCCCACTGGTGCTGCTGGGCGGCCGTGCTGTACATCCACTTGAGGGCCGCGTCCTTGACGAAGACGGACAGTGCTCGGAGAATGAAGGATGCGAACAGGTTGAGGTGGATGTAGTTGCGGGTGCAGTGCAGGTGTCTGGGGGAGAGAGTCCTGCTCTTCACCCGGCGCTCAGGCTGGCCCGCCTCCCGCGCTTCGGGCCCTGGGACTGCTCCTGTCCTTCCTCTGAGCGTGCCCTGTCCCCACAGCCTGCGCTCCTGTCCTTCCTCTGAGCCTGCCCTGTCCCCACAGCCTTGATGGTCCTTTTGTTTCATTCGAGTCCTGCCTCTCCATGATGCCAAGTCACTGCCACCCCACCCCTTCCCATGCACCTTCTGTCCTTCTGTCTGTGGCATCTTCTCTTCTACAAAGTCATGTGTGGCCCAAGTACTAGTGTGTGAGGACCCCTTGCCCCGCTGGGGACAGTGCTTTGCTTCTTGATGGCAGGGCCCACTTCGTACATGCCTCGGGGCTGCCATACAGCGCACAAGGCAAGAATTCAAAAAGTATTGGATACAATTTCATGTAAAAACGCATAGCAAATTGGAAATACAAGGGCATTTCTTAACCTGATAAGGGCTATCTACCCAAAGCCGGAGCAAACATCATTCTTAACGGATGAATTTTAGAAGCAATCCCTTTCAAATAAAATAAATAAAGGATCTAGACAGGAAGCTATCATCACGTCTAGTCAACACTGTACTACAGATCCTCGCCACTATAATCAGAAAAGGGAAAAGTGTATAAGAATTGGAAATAAAGACTGTTATTATTTATAGATGATAAATTATCTTCATAGAAAATCCAAGACATCTGGCACACAAATTATCAGAACTAATAAGAGAGTTCAGCAAGGTTGCTGACATGTATGTATACATACATCAGTCACAAGCAATTAGAAAGTAAACTTAAAAAGTTCACGTATAGCCCGGCCGGCCGGGACTCAGGGGTTGAGCATCGACCTGGGATCCAGGAGATGGTGGCTCGATTCCCCATCAGGGCACATGCCCGGGTTGCGGGCTCGATCCCCAGCAGGGGGCGTGCAAGAGGCAGCCGATCAATGACTCTCTCATCATTGATGTTTCTCTCTCCCTCTCCCTTCCTCTCTCTGAAGTCAATAAAAACATTTTGGAAAAAAAAAAGTTCATGTATAATACTTTTAATTGCCTACCTAGAAATAAGTCTAACACAACATGGGAAGACTTCTAGGAAGAATACAGTAAAACTTGCTTAAAATCATTAAAGAAGATTTAAATTAATGAATGATATACCACATTCATAGAAAGACTCACTCTCCTGAAGATGTCAATTCTCCCCATATTAATTGATGAATTCGATATAGCTATAACAAAAATTCCAACAGTGTTGGTGTTTTTAAAATGAAATTTAAAAATGTATAAAAAAGAGCCGAGTGCCAAGATTAGCCCAGACAGTCCCACAGAAACACAAAGCGGGGGCCCTCGCTACAAGAGAGCCAAGATCCTTAACGAGTATATAGTAGCAAAGACATCATGGTACTGGCAAAAGGACAAAGAGACCAGGGAACAAGGAAACGGACGACAGAAATTGACGCAGCCATAGAAGGTGACCCTCCCTGCCTGGCAGAGTAGGCATTGCCATCCGAGGGGAAAGGGTGACTAGCAGTGAATGATCCTGAGACAACTATTTGTATACATGGAAAAATGAAATTAATCTTTATTTTCATCCTAGACAAAAATAAATTCCAGGTACATCAAAGAACCATAAGGGAGACTAAAACAACCTCAGTAGACAAGTAAAGATTTCTGAAACAAGACCACAACAAAATTTGGTCTTTGAAAAAAAAACACAATAAATTTTAAATCAATTGAAAAAAATTATCTTTTATATATTGATAAATTTTGTGTATCAATAGAAACAGAAAAATTAATATAGTTCGTGCCATTAAAATTAAGGTTTTCTGTGCATAAAAGGCACCAGAGTGAGTGAAAAAAATAAACCACAGGGTAAGAGGAAATTTTCTGGGTTGGTATCCAGAATATATAATGAATGCCTAAGAGAAAAACAAAAAAAGCCAAATAAGCCTATAAAAGGTAAGCCATTCTATGAGCAAGCAACTGACAAAATAAACATAAAAAATGTTGCTCTCCCTGGGAATCAGAGCTATGCAAATTAAAATCAATGAAATTTCACACACTTTAGATTAGCGACAATTAGGTCTGAGAATACTAAGTAGTGGTGAGGACATTAACGGAAGGGAACTCTCATTTATTACTGGTGAGAGGGCAAACTGGGATGATCACTTTAGAGAGCAACTTAACAACACCTAATAAATTTGCAAAAGCACGTGGTATTCAGATCAGGCGATTGGACTCGGAGGTATGTGCCCCTGGAGAAATGCACAAGGGGTCAGCGGCAAGAATGTTCATTGTAGAAAGGTTTATAATTCTGAGGAGAAAAACTTCCAATGTCCACTAAAAGGACAAGCGATAACTAAACTGTGCTGTATCATACAATGGGGTACAGAGTGGCCAGTAACACGGATGAAGAACCACCCATTTCAGTGTAAATGCATCTCACAAAAACATTGTCGGGCCAAAAATAACATTGCAGAAGAACATATGTCCAACATGTCATCGAAAGGAAGCAAAACTCAGCCTATATATTTTTACAGATACTTACAAATGCAGCCAAAGTATAGAGAGAAACGTGGAAATTATAAGCAGCCCCATTAGGGGTTCCCTTTGGGGGGGCGGGGTGAGCGTTACTCTGGGAAGCATAACCATGTGGTTCTGAGGCTGGGCGGTGCATGCATGGGTGGTCACAGTATCAGCCACTGTATTTTTGAAGCACTGAAATACTTCATAGTAAATTGCATTTCTTGAGTGAATGCATTTATTGAGCACTGACTGAGTGCCCAGCACTGACTGTGCCAGGTCCCGTGGGGACACGGGAGAAATGCCACGCCGCCCCTTCCTGCTGTGTGTGTCCTAAGCTCCCTGCCCTCGGAATCCCTCCTGCCCCTGAGGCCAGGCCCCGGCCCACCCCCAGCAAGTGCAGAAGGGGCGGGAAGAACCTGTGCTCTGGGAGGAATGGCTCCTCTAGGAAGACCTTTCATGGGGTGGCTGGCAGGCTCCAAAGGGAGCAGGATTTCTAAATGCTGAGGTCCCGTCTAAACCATACTGAATCCTGACTGTCTGGGTTACGCATGCTCACTGGAGAGGACTGCCCCTCATTCCCCCATCCGCTGCTGAGGTTTGGGGGTGCTCTGCGGGCGCGTGGTTTTAGTTGCCCTTTAGCAGTGTGGTACACACACATTTACACAGCAGGGCCTAGGCCAAGTGCACAGCGTCGTATCCGTGATTTCAGCCTCACATTCGACAGTGCGGGCTCTCTGGAGGCCTCAACAGGAGAACCTGCTGCCCTGTCGCCTTGGTTCGGTGCCCCTCCTCCATCCGGGGACAGAGTGGGGAGCTAGGCTGAGACAGCCCCCTGGGCCCGGGCCCTTACCTGAAGCCAAGGAGGATGGCCGAGGCGACGACCAGGGCGGAGAAGGACAGTGCGTAGCCCACCGTGTAGATGATGTAAAGGGACAGGAGCTGGTCCTCCGGGGAGCTCTGTGTGCACGGGGACAGCGTGCATGGGGCGCCCCAGGCCCTCCTCGCCCGCATCCATCTTTCCAATGGCACGGGGCAGAGGTGGGGCCCCCAGAGCTAAGAAAGCGAATAACCTAGGGAGAGGTCTCCAGATTCTCGGAACCTGGTCCAAGGCGGGAGGTGAACATGCACCCCCGGCCCAGAGAGCATGGCATGCAAAGCCCCCTGACCTCACAGGCCTGACCACGGCCCAGCCCCCCCACCGCTCCAGCGAGGCTGGGACCTGCTACCCCTCGCTGGCTCAGGGCCCCATCCTCAGCTCACTCTGTCCCCTCGCTTGGACTCCTCGCACTCCGACAGGTCCCTCCAGGGCAGGCTGGAGTTGTCCTTGTGCAGCCACAGGCCGTCGGCCGTGCAGAACCGATACACGTGACCCTGCAGCACTGGGGCAGAGACGAGATGCGGGAGCTGAGCCTCGGCCCAGTGCCACAGTCCTCCTACCCCTCCCAGCCGGGGTCACCATGCTCCCCAGCACTGGCCTCTTGGAGTTAGTGGCACGTCTCACACAAACTCACACGCAGACACACACACTTGGGCTTTCCTGCCCCGCCACATGCCCATCTGGCCCAGGAACAGGAACGGCGGTCACTGAGGAGTGGGCCACCCACCCCGCCCTCAGCCTTGCCTCCTGGCTGCGCTGCTATGCAATCGATGAAGCTCATCCGTGAGCGGAGATGACTCCAGCCACTGCCACGTTCCTGTCTCCAGCCTCCAATCACACGGCTACAAGGTCTGCTGTGGACCAGCAGTGGCCCTGACAGCCCCACAGCCACCTGCTGTGACGTGCGATTCTCAGGACTCAGTGCCCACCTCCTTCCAATACTCCTTGGGCAGAGCAGACCTGTCCTCAGGGGCCCCCAGTCTGGGGGAGACACAGCCCTGTCCTCAGGGAGCCCCAGTCTGGGGGAGACACAGCCCTGTCTTCAGGGAGCCCCAGTCTGGGGGAAACACAGCCCTGTCCTCAGGGAGCCCCAGTCTGAGGGGGTTCAGCCCTGTCCTCAGGGAGCCCCAGTCTGAGGGGGGATACAGCCCTGTCCTCAGGGAGCCCCAGTCTGAGGGGGTTCAGCCCTGTCCTCAGGGAGCCCCGGTCCGAGGGAAGAAGGAAGCACATATCCTGGCTTTAGCAAGACTCTCGAAGAGCAAAACCAAAATCATGGTCAGCAAGGAACAGGACAAATGCAAAGCGAGAGCGACCAGACACAGTCCCTGCGAGCTGCCGGCTCGTTCACACCAAGGCTTCTGACCCCGAGGCCTTTCCCTGCCACGCCGCACTGTCCACCTCCCCAGGGACACGGGTGGCTTGTGGCCCCAGGTTTGCTGTGAGGTTGAGAAAGGGGTGAAGGGGTTGCTATCTCCCAGCAAGAGAATGAATCTGAGCCCAGGGCCAGGAAATGGGACAAACTGGGGTGGGGGAAGGTAGCATAGGGGGATCAAGGAGAGAAGCTGGATCCAGGACAAATTTTAAAAGATTTTAAAATTCTAAAGGACTCAACGATTTTAAAATCCGCTTCCCCGGCTGTGGGAGGCAGGAGCAGTGTGAGGGAGAGAGAATGGAGAAGCCACCGAGGCTCTGGGTGGCAGCGGCCGGGCAGGCTCCCAGGCGGAGAGGCAGAGAGGAACCCCGACTACGGGAGTGTCACCAGCCTACCCAGGAAGGGCGGCCTGGGACAGGGCTGTTTCACAGCTCACAACCCTCCACCAGCCCACCTTGTTATGCGCAGGATAACAAGGGTCTGGGGACAGCGTCTTCCCACCCTGTCGGGCACCTGCAGGCCTGCCAGTCAGACCTTATCCTTCCTAACGCTGACCCCCAGGCACCCAGGGCAGCCTCCCTGCCGGCTCTCCTCCGTCCCCTGCTCTCTGTCACAAGCAAACCCTGAACCGGTCCCTCCTCGGGAGACAGAAGTCTCTGGCGGTTCAGTGAGGTACGTCAGCTTGCGGCACAACTCCTTCTAGAAGGCCCTGCATTTTAGAAGACTTCACCTGGAAGGGCAATGACAACCTGAAAGTCTAATGGCGGGGACTTCTGGCAGCAGGAAGAGTCACATCCCAACACCCCCTAATGCGTTCATGAGCAAAATTAGGGCAAGGACAGAGGCAGAGAGTGGGGGGCACGTGGTCTGATTTCAGTAACTGGAGGGCTCGTCTCAGGCCCTGAGCACATCTCCTATCTGGATGCCTGGAAGCCCTCCCAGGGTCAGACCAGTGGTGGATAACCCAGAGCAGTGCTGGATCAGGGCTGACCCCATGGCGAGCGAGACTGATGTCACAGCCTTCTCTGGCAGCCTATTTGGGGTGAGAAAAGAGGGAGGCAGAAGGACCAGGGGAAGGGAGAGGACAGAGCCCTTGGGCACAAACCATCAAACCACCCATTTACCTGACACTCAGCCAGCAGCAGCGTGACCCTGATGATGCCCGCCTGCCACAGCTGGTCAGGGCCTGGCACACCACGACTGCTGGTACCTGCCTGCCATACCCGTTTATACACTGTTCTGCAGGCTACACACTCACAGAATCTGTTTTGAACACCTGCTATATGCCTGACACCTCTGAGCATCGCAACCACTTGACAAAGGTAGGCACAGTTAACCCCATTTTACAGGTGGAGAAATGGAGTCTCTAAGAGGCCAAGCAACCTGCCCCAGATCAGCCAGCCAGGATGCAGCAGAATCAGGATTCAGACCCCTAGCTCTTTGCCTCCAAAAGCCAAAAGTTAGCAGCCACACTCACTGCTAGCAGTCAACAGTGGCCACATGCCATCTCTCCTCTACCCTTCCCAAGGCCTGGACTGGCCAACATTCAGTGTCCTCCCAGCAGGTCCTCTCGCCGGTGCAGACCCCGGGCAGGCTGCACAGTTCCCCGGCCTCTGCTCAGGGCCAGCTGGGAGGACGTGGAGGCGGTGTGTGGACAGACGTGTGTTACAGGGAGTGTCAGGGATCACTGCGTCCCTGAGAGTCTGTGTGAGTGCGGCTGTCAGTTATCCCTCACCAGCAGCAAATATTAAGAGCCAGGGCTGGCTCCTGGCTGGGCAGTGGTCCCCAGACGCCCATCTTGGCTAGGGGTACAGCAGGTCCAGGCACAGTCCTGCTTATCAGCCCAGCTTTATCTTGCCCAGGAGCTGCTGGTAAGTCAGCCAGGGACTTGGCTCCGGTCTTGTCAACACCAGGAGGCAGCCAGCCACATGCCAGGAGGCCCAGGGATATTTCATTAAGTCAGACCCTGGTGTTGGAAATAAAACCCCCAATTAAACACTTCCCCTCCCGGAAACTGCAGCGGCGTCTGTAATCAAGCTAACAGCCGCCCTTCCACGTGGATGCGGGCACTCAGGGCTGCGGAGAGCCGCTCATGAATCCATTAGCTCCTGCGCTCTGGCAACAGCGGCCAGCAAGGACGCCTGGGCCCCTATCTTACAGACCGGGAGGCCCTCCCCAAAAGTGGTGGAATACAGGTCAGAGGTGGGCTGGAGCTGAAGGCACCAGCTTGGGGTGGGCGTGAGGGTTGGTGCATCCTCACGGCCCAGGAGAAGGAGCTCAGGTTCTGAACTGCACAGACTCAATTTCAGATCCTGGTTCTGCCTCAGCCAGCTATGGGACCTGGAGCAGACCTCCTGGGTCTCAGTTTCCTCATTCGAAGCCATAATGACTCCCCAGGTCTGCGGTGTGATTAGGAGATAAAGCAAGTCAAGTGCCTGGTGCATGGGAGGCCTTCAAAACATGGTCACAGTGGGAGTCCTGTTGTTGCCCGATCCCAATTTCTCACAAGGGCACCCCTTCACTGAGGCTGGGGCTCAGGACCCCACCTCAGGCAGATGTCCTCCAAAGCCAAGCCCTGGCCTCTGTCGCCTCGGGCAACGCGACCTGCCATGAGAGTTCCCACGCTCAGCATTACTCAAGGGAGGCACCTGTCAGAGTTTCCGAGACTTGTGAGTGATAGGCTATTTTAAAAGCATTTTATGACTCTCATATAATTAGAACTGAGCTAACAAAGAGGTAGAGATCAGGAGGGGTACAGCTAATGAGACCGGAATGATTAGTAACAAGCAGACCGGCTGTGTGTTGGTAACCGGAGGCTGCTGGAGAGCCCTCAGGGAGCAGCGGCCTCTCTGAAGCCATCCAGCCTCTGGTTTACAGCAGAAACTTTGTTGGCACCAAGCATCCCCTTTGAACACCTTCCTTCCCTGACTCACCTGCTCCTGGCCTCTCCTTGGGACCCAGATTCTGAATCAGAGGGTCAGATCCCAGAGCTCACTTCCCAGGACACCGTGCAGCCCTGAGGCCTGGACCCCATCTCCAAAGTGGTGCCTGGAGGGAAGACCCTCCTGGAGGGTCTTCTTTGCCCTCTCCACCTGCCTGTTCTTTCAGGCCTGCCCGATGTCACCTCTCTCCGCAGCCACACCCCGGGCAGAAGAGATGGCTCTGACCTCCCTTGACACACTCCCTGGGCGACTGAGCTGACCTCTCCAGCCCTGCGGTGAGGGGGTCACCCCTTCTCCCATGTACTCTCACGCCCCTAAGAAGGAATCTCACTGGCATGCCGAGCTTGGGACACAGACCTAACCCGGGTGCCCGGTAACTGCCTTGAATGTAATTCCTTCTCTAGTCGCTCGTGGCTCAGCCTGCTCTGCACCCCGGGAGGCTGACCCCTGCGGACAGCATCACTTGGACTCTCTGACCTCTACCAGGTTTGACTAGAAGGCAGGAGGGCAGATGGAGGGAGAGGCTAGGGCATTTCTCTCTGGCTCTCTTCCTGCCTCGATTCTGAGGTTCTGGGGGTGACTTCGGCCCTGCTGATGGCCCCTCTGTCACCAGCTGTCACGGGAGCCCCACAGCCCCATTTCTGCCTCACTCAGGTCTAGAGATGCTAAGCTTCCCACAGCTGCAGTCCTTGGTGCTTTGTGTACCTACTGGCCCCTCAGTCCTGCCCAGCCTCTGTAAGTGACCCCACCATTTCCATTCTCTTCAAATTGCCAGCTGAGTGTGTTTTCTGGTGGGACCCCCTTCCTCTGCCCACCTTAACCCATACTCATAGGCTACTCCCTTTCTCAGCCCAAGAAAGGCCCGGAACTGCCACCTCCTGCTCCCGTGTGCCCTGGGTGGGGGTGAGGGAAGCCCCCGGTGCCAGCCTCTGCCCAGGTGACAGCCAGGCCAGGCCAGAGACAGCAATTATGCTGTGGGAGCCCAGATGGGTGTCTCTAGGGGTCCCTAGCTCAGGGAGGGGGCGGGGGAGGACAGTGGGTGATTCTGAGTGTTAAAAAAGGGCATGAATTAGCTCGGTGAGTCAGGGAGGGGGTGGAGGCTGGCAGGGGGCCTGCGCAGCGGCCGTTATCTTCGTGTAGAAAGCAATAAAACTGTGTTCGCTCATAAACGGGCACCACCAGGACCTATTTCCTGCTCAAATAAAATTAAAGGTGATGGATGGAGCTGAGAGCAGCAGGCAGAGTGGGGGCGGCTTAGTGCTGAGTGATGGGCCCTGTCCTGCCCCTGGCTCCGGGGGGTCTAGAGGCGCAGCCCAGGCTGCCTGGCAGCCAGTCCCAAACCTCAGGGAGGCAGGGAAAGTGTAGGTATTTCAGGAGGTGGGGGAGGTAAGAAGGGTGGGTGAAAAAAATTAACAGCAACCATTTTTCAAGAACCTGCAATCCTCCTAACACCCCCATCCCCCGGCTCTATCCCATGTCCCAGGTGATCCAGCTGAGGCACAAAGAGGTCTGAGAATTCGCTCGGTTCACACAGTCACCCAGAACATCGGCAAGCAGACCACTAGATTGTAGGACTCGGCTTTTCTATCTCTAGAAAGAGGGCAGGCAGCTCACTGCTCTCCTTCAAGCTGTGCCCAGCCAGCAGAGGCCCCAGCCACTCACCTGTCTCCATGCCCAGGAACACACACACACACGCACACACGCACACACACACACACACACATGCTCGCACACTCAAGGAAGTCTGGTATAGCAATTAAACACACTGACTCTAAACCAGACTCCTGAGTCCTGGGTCTGCTATTTACAAGCTGTGTGAGCTTGGAAAAGTCATCTAGCATCTCTGTGCCTCAGTTTCTGCCTCTGTAAAATGGGAAGATAATCAGAGTGCTGGCCTCAGAAGGTTACTGCTAGGATTAAATGAGCTTAGGTGTGTAAAGTGCTTACAACAGGTCACAGAAGTGCTGTGTGAAGGCCCAGTCTGTCTTAGCCAGGTGCCTGCCTGTTTCCTGGTCCAGGCTCTCCCTGTGCACCTCAGGGTGAGGGGTGTGTCCTGGGAGGGTTCAGAAGGAGAGATTCTCTTTAGGACTCCTGCCGGGACTTCATATGACCTCAGTCCTCAGTTCTGAGGTGAAGCTCATGCCAGGCTCTGCCAAGTGCCCTGATGTTCTACTAAAGGGCCTCCTCCTCCAGGAAGACCTCTGGCTTCCCATAGTACAACCTCATTTTTCACACTTGCTTCTGGGCTGGTTTCTGCTTGGCCTCAGGTCCCTTCAGGCCACAGTGGTTAAGCTCACAAGCTGGGTTCAAATCCTGGCTCTGCCATTTATCACATCATTTGAAGCAAGTGGCTTACACTTTCTGGGGCCTCAGTTTCCTCATATGCACAAGCAGCATGACCATGGGGTAGTTGTAAAGATTGAATGAACAGCCTGCTTTTAGGCAATACTTGGCACATAGTAGGTGCTCAATAAATATCAGCTATTATTATAATCATTTTTGTAAGAGAGTGTTTTTTCTCCCCTTATTGAGACTGAACTCCTTGAGGCAGGGTGCTTGTCTCCTATTAGCCTCCCTGACACCTGGGATAGATGGGGGGGGGCCTACTAACTATCCCCTCCAGTCAGAGCTCCCCCTGCAGCCTCTGCAGGTGGCTGTACTCCAGGAGCCCCCGCTCACTTACCCGGTCACACCTTCCCCAGTGTAGGGTGTCCCCTGCAGGCAGGAGTGAGCTGGGGAGGCCCTAAGGGACAGCCCCCCAATGCCCTAATCACTCCTCCCACTGGGTCCATCTGACCAGTGAAGCCCTGGAGAGTCAGGAGGTGGCTAGGTGCCACTAGCAGGAACAGGGCACCCATCACACATACATACATGCATGCACACACACACATCAGAGCGATGGCACCTCTGGTAATGCCCCTCCCTTGGAACCCCAGGACCTGTTCCCACCTGGCTCCTCTCCTGACTAGTGGATGAGGGGCTCACATTTGTCTCTTAAGTCAGACCCCACACTTCCGCCCCCACCGGCCCCAGGCCCAGGTTACACGCAATAACCCCCCTGCCCCCTCTCCCCAAGGAAAGACAGGCAGACCACCCATAAGGAGTCCTAAAGACCTTCTGGGGTGGGGAAGGCTCTGTCCCAGTGGAAAGGAAGCGGTGTGCACCCCATCCCAACTCCACCCACCAGGGAGAGTGGTCCACGCGTGGGGGAGGGGACTCACCACTGTTGGCCCAGGGCAGGTACCAGGGGCAGCTGACATTCACAAAGGAGCCAGGTGGCCCATCTGGCCAGCAGGCATAGTCATCGAAGGTCCGGTTGCAGAACAGGCCTGGGTGCAGGGGGAACAGTCCAGAGTCCTGGCTTGGCTGAGGCATCTCCCCACCGGGGGGCTGGCAGGGCAGAAACCTGCGCTCTGCTAACCTCTGCTGAGCGCTCACTGTATGCCAAGCACTCTACCCACCCAGCAGGGGCCAAGCAAGCGGACTTGGCCAGGTCCCAGCAGCAGCACTTTGAGAAAGTTTAATGTCTCTGTTCCCTTATCTGTAAAATGGAAGTAATCCTGGTTCCACAGGGCTTTGTGGGGACAGACAGGACACGTCATGTAGATAACCCGAGCATAGCAAGTGCTCAATACACGATCCCCATAGGCTGACTTCAGGGATGCGCTGCAGACGAGGGGAAATGGTAGCTCACACGGCTGTTAGAACCTTCGTAAGGTCACTGTATTGATGGCAAGAGCAGGATTTGAACCCAGGCCCGTAGATCTCCTAAACCTCCCCAATCCCCCCCAAAACATTTATTACTATGAATATGCAGTTGGGCCTCCAGCCCTGCACACACCGGGAAGTGCTGAGCGGTACACGGAATGGAGAGGCCAGGTCCTTGCTCCTGAGGGGCCCAAGCCCGGGACAAGGGAGATAGACAGCAACGAGATAGCACCCCAGAGCACAGGGCAGATGTGGCATCCTGGAGAGGCCACTGATGCCCCACCAAGGGGCGGGGCCTTCAAAGCCTCGGGGCGTTAGTTGGGTGGGGGCCCCCTGGACTCACCTGTGGCTGGGGGTGGAGCCTCGGTCAGGAAGCGCTGGCACTGGCGCCGGTATTCTCGCCATTTCTGCACCGTCTCCGAGAGGGACACTGTGGCACCCTGGGGGGAGGGCAGAAATGGGGGCCCTTGGGTTGCAGCCAACCTCTCCCTTAGCCCCCGCCCCCAGCACACTTGGTTTCTGGATGTCCAGGGGACCTCAAGCCCCAAACCCATCAGGGGTTGGCGCCTCTGAGAAGGGGAGGGACTCAGCTGCGCTTCAGAGGGAACTTTTCCCGTCTTTATCCCCCCAGAGGTCAGGTGTCCAGCAAGTGTCTACTGACTTCATGTTGTTGGGGGATGAGTGGGGGGAAGGGAGGGGAGAGTGTGCCGATCATGGTCTCATCTGGCCTCTCCTAAGAGAAAGTTCCTGAGAACCCCAGGCTCTGTGACTGCCAGGGGCTCCTCTCCCAGTGCCCAGTCAGCCTGCCTATGAAATCCTCACACTTTCAGCCATTCTAGAAGCGGAAATGCAGGCCCAGAGTGGGAGAGGGACTCGGTCAAGGTCACACAGCACCCCAAGGGGCAGGGCTAAGGCCAGACCCTGGGGTGCCTCAGATCAGCGATGGTGCTGGAGCACTCGGGGGCTGGGGGGGCGGTGGGATTCAGTGCTCAGAGCCTGGTAATTTTATCTCTTCTGCTCAAAGCAATCACGTGGGGGAGGCAACACTACCTCCCCCACCAGTGTCCACTTTTAACATTACAACCCAGGTCAAATATCAGCTCAGCTTCGGTCAATTGGAGAGGGAGGCGTCCTGAGGACCTGGGGTGAAGGGGTCAGAAAAGTTCCAGAACTCCGAGGAGATCAGGCCTGTAATGGGAGGGGTCCCCACCTGTGACTAGGGGAATAGGAACCTCACTTTTAGATAAGGTAACAACTGGCCTTTTAGCACCGAGACCCAAAAGGACCCACCCAAGTGAGAAGGTCCCTTCTGAACAATTGTGCACCTTCTTTAATTATGTCTCAGAACTGTTTCTTTTTTTTTTTCTTTTTTTTTTTAATTTGTATTTTTTTCTTGAACAGGTTTACGATGATACATATTCTACGTGTTGAGGCTGCCGGTGCCAAAATGAACAGGGAGCCTCCGTGTATAAAATTTAGGACCTAGACATAATTTAAAACAAAATTCCTCTTTTAAAATTACAAAAATAGACACATGCTGAAATAAAAAGAGCTTGTTTTCAGAAGCTTGACGGGCGGTGCCCTAAGCACTTACTGGGTCTGGTTTCTAAGTAAAGCTGCCCAAGGTAGAGCTGAGTCCTGGCCTATGAGACACGCCCATAAAAGACACAGGTTGTCATGTGCTGGTCCCTGCAGAATAGGGACCCCAGGGAGGGGACCAAGCTTGCTTGAGCCCCAGCCACACTCTTGGAGTAAGTGTGCTGAGGCCACACGGGCTGCCTGAAGGATGGAGCTCTTCTGAGGGCAAAGTTCAAGTGCATTTGTTAAATAAATAAATAAAACGAACAAGGAATGGACCTCGACAGCAGCGAGGGCAGAGGCAGGATTGTAGCTACAGCTGACGCGCCAGGACAGTGCTCAGGAGAGCCGGGCCCGGTGGGAACTCCCCGCCCTCCCGAGCCCCTCTTCCCTCTGCTCCGGCCCTGGCCCTCCGCGGCTGGTGGGAAGGGCAGAGAGGCTGGGCCATCTCCCTGGATCTGTCCTTCCAGGAGGAAAGCAGGCAGGAAGCAAGGCCACTGCTGGGAACCCGGACAGAAGGTATGTCTGGGCTCGGGAGGGGGGACAATGGAAACCAGAAGTCTCAGGGTGGGGTGGGGGTGGGGTTAAAGGCTAAGGTCAGCACCGTGAAGGCCAGCCTGGCCACCAACGCCTCAGGGAGCTTCAAGACGGCAGCCCTGTCACCTGCTCTGTCTTCAGACAGGGGCTCCCTGAGGACAGGGTCATGTCTCCCCTCAGACTGGGGACTCCCTGAGGACAGGGCCGTGTCTCCCCTTAGACTGGGGCTCCAGTTTTAAGTTACAAGGATGTAGTGCACAGCATAGGGAATATAATCAATAATAGGGTAACAACCAGGCACACTGGACTTACCGTGGTGATCATGTCATAAGTTATATAAACGTCTAATCACTACGTTGTACACATGAAACTAATATAACATCACGTCATTATAATTAAAAATAAATTAAAAAAATAAAGTGCTATGAGCACACACACACACGCACACACACAAATAACAGGGGCTGTTTGTCCCCTCAGAGAGCTTCCTGACAATGGGGGTCCATTCATCTCCCTGCATCAGCTTAGGGTCTCCAGTACTGCTCCCCAGCCTCCCCCGCCCTCCCCCAGCACTAACTACCTGGCCTCGGGCCTCTCCCCACCAGGTGTCAAGGAAGCCGCAGGTGCCAGGCTCTGGGTGGCAGTGGGGGGATGCGCGGGCATGGGGAAGAAGATGTAGGACACAGCTCTGGCCTAAGCATCCCCAGGCCAGGGCTGTGTCCTTACTTGTGGGTGGGGTGGGTCCTTGATTTGCAGGATGTGACAGAGAAGGCGGCGGTGGCCCTGTTCAGGGAGTGGCTGGGCCGGGCTCAGCACAGACTCCAGACTCCTGGGAGGCTATGAGCTGGGGGTAAATGGAGAGTGGGTGGGGGAGAGACCAGGCTAGCGAGGGTGGAGGGTGGGCATTGCAGCAGGACCCAGCAAGGACAAAAGTGCAGAGGTAGGGACACTGGTGCTCCGGGGAGCGGGAAAGCCTTGACTGGTGTTCAGGGGGGGTTTCTGGGGCAGGGACAGAGCAGCAGGCAGGACCTGGGACAGAGGTGAGGATCTGGTCACCACCAGTGCAGCCAGGCCCAGGTGCTCAGGCGAACTCAGTAACACCGTGGAGGTGAACAGCCCTGGCTTTGGGCTCAGACTTGAGCCTGACACTGAATTAATTAATTAATCCCCCATAAATTAAGCTTGTGACCTTGTGCAAGAGTCTTAACTTCTAGCCTCAAAATGGGAATAATGAGTCCCTACCCACCCAGCTTGTTGCGAGGCACAGGCAAGTTAACGCTTAGAGCGGCCCTGGCACAGGCAGAATGCCCGTCCACGGCACCAGTCTCACGATGCCTGCTGCCTGTGGGACAGGGGAGAGGGGGACAAGCAGACTGGCATCCTGGGGAGTCTGGGCCCCACCCCTCTCTCACTTTTAGGATCAACAAACTCCCCAAAGCAGGAAACAAACATATTTTCACCCAAGGACCAATCATCTGCTTAATTTGTGGCATCTTCCAGCAGCCACCATAGCCAAGTGTGGACACTGGGGACTCCATGCCCAAGGGCAGGGAACAGTGAGGAGGGGCAAGGCCCTGTCACCCGCCCCGGGCCCACTGCATTCCCCTGTGGTTCGAGGTCTTGCTCTGAGCGGTGAGGCGGGGCTGGGGGTGCTGGGTGGTGGGAAGACACAGTGGTGGAGGCCCCTGCCCCTCCCAGAGCAGCAGAGCTGGCCCAGAGCACAGGGCAGTGGTGAGGGGGCCCTCGGGGCCTGGGTGAGGGCAGGTGGGCAGTTTTTAAAATCGGAACTTGCCAGGCTTCCTGGGATCTCTCTGAGGGGGGTGAAGGCAAATGAGGGTGGAGCTTACAATAGGAGGGGGCGTCTCTCAGAGGTAGGAGTTTGGGAAGGAAGCAGGGGGTGAGAAAGAGGTGCCAGGAGCGAGCGGTGTGTGAGCACTGGACAGGGAGTCACAAAGCACCAGGAGCTCTGGCCTCTCCGCCTCTAGTTTAAATCTCTGCTGGGACTGAAGGAACACATTTAATTTTTATGAGCCTCAGTTCCCTCTCCTATAAAATGGGCATATCAGTCCCCTCAGAGGGTTCCCACACAGACCCAGCGAGATAGGTTAGGTGAACACATCAGGAGGTGACAAGCCCTGCAGCAGTGGGCAGCGTGAGGAAGAAGAGGCGCGAAGAGGAAGGATGCGGGTGGGGGGGGCGCTCGAGGCGCTGGGCGTCCCCACAGCCTGGGAAGGCGGCTCTCCAAAGACTGGCGCTCGCCGGAAAAATCCCTCCTAGGGTTTTACTTCCCCGTGTGGATAAGTGCATTGGGTTCTTTCCTTTCCTGGCACAGGCATGACAAGGGAAGGAGGCAAGAGAGCCCGCCTGCCTGGGCTGAGGCGGGAAACGGCAGAGCCTCGCGGAGAAGAGGTTCCACAGGCAGCCATCTGCCCCGAAGGCTCCTCCCAGGACCCCACACTCCTTCCTCTCTGTGCCCTGGAGGGGGGCTGTCGGCCCCTGGCTCTTAGACACCCCTCCTTTTTTTGTCTTAAGGGCTCCAGATACATGAGCCAAAGGGCAGGGAAAGGAAAACTGCCCACAAACAACCCTCGCGCGGATACGCTGTCACACACATTGTCCCCCACGCCATCGAGCACATGCTACTTACTGAGACACGACCCAGGGTCTCTCTCACGCACAAACACACAGTCAGATACACACTCGCATACTGAGACACTGCCCCCAAGACACACACACACAGGCCCCTTGACTGACATATACTCAACTCACAGACACGCACACAGAGACACAACCACACATTCTGTGACAAGCACTCTGTCTCTCACCCACATGCAGACTCAGACTGGCAGACACCCCATCACACACACACACACCCCTTCCCACAGACACAGTATCACACTGTCAGACACAACTGCATGCTGAGATGCTTCACACACAGTGACTCACACACATGCAGGCTGTCACACACAAGATGTGTACAAACACACAGAGAAACAGGCCCATGGTCTGTCTCTCGCTCCCTGTTTCTATATCTCCGCATCACTGTATCCCTCTAACACACACACACACACACACACACACACACACNCTGCATCACTGTATCCCTCTAACACACACACACACACACACCCCGGAGCCTGCAGAGAGGCAGGTGGCAGCTCAGGCATCGGAGGGCAGGGTGTGATCTGCTGGTTGCTCCTGCCCCGGCAGCCACTGGGGTCCACACCCGGGAATGAGCCCAGCTCAGAACAATGCCCACGGGGGCCGCTGTGCACCCTGGACTCCCTCTGCCCTCCACCGGAGTGCGGAGCCGGGCCTCCCACAGCCCCTCTCCAAGCCCTGTCTTCTGCCCTGGGGAAGGCTTCCAGATTCCCGAGGACAGATGGGTCAGCTCTGCCAAGTGA